TATATTAAACTTTTTTTTTTTTTTTTTTTTTTTAGATAGAATCTCATTCTGTGGCCCAGGCTGGAGTGCAGTGGCATGATCTTGGCTCACTGCAACCTCCACCTCCTGGGTTCAAGCAATTCTCCTGCCTCAGCCTTCCAAGTAGCTGGGACTACAGGCATGCACCACCACATGAAGCTAATTTTTGTATTTTTAGTAGAGACGGGGTTTCATCGTGTTGGCCAGGCTGGTCTTGAACTGCTGACCTCAGGTGATCCGCCTGCCTCAGCCTTCCAAAGTGCTAGGATTATAGACATGAGTTACCATGTCCAGCCTATATATTAAACATTCTTAAAGAAATTCCAATCCAGAATTTCTTATCTGGCCAAACTAAGCTTCATAAGCAAAGGAGAAATAAGATTATTTTCAGGTGGGGTGCGGTGGCTCACACCTGTAATCCCAGCACTTTGGGAGGCTGAGGTGGGTGGACGGCCTGAGTCCAGGAGTTCGAGACCAGCCTGGGAAACATGGCAAACCCTGTCTCTACAAAAAGTATATAAATTAGCCGGGTGTGGTGGTGCCTGTCTATATAGTCCCAGCTACTTGGGAGGCTGAGGCCAGAGAATAGCTTGTGCCAGGGAGGCACAGGTTGCAGTGAGCCATGATCATGCCACTGCACTCCAGCCTGAGCAACAGAATGAGACGCTGTCTCAAAAAAAAAAAAAAAAAAAAATCCTTTCAGACAAGCAAACGCTGAGAGAATTTGTTACCAGCAGTCCTGCCTTACAAGAGCTCCTGAAAGAAGTACTAAATATGAAAAGAAGTCCCAGCATGGTGGCTCATGCTGGTAATCCCAGCACTTTGGGAGGCCGAGGCAGGTGAATCACCTGAGGTGAGGAGTTTGACACCAGCCTGGCCGACATGGTATAACCCTGACTCTACTAAAAATATAAAAATTAGCTGGGCATGGTGATGGGTGCCTGTAATCCCAGCTACTTGGGAGGCTGAGGCAGGGGAATTGCTTGAACCTGGAAGGCGGAGGTTGCAGTGGGCCCAGATCATGCCATTGCACTCCAGCCTCGGTGAGAGAGCGAGACTCCATCTCACAAAAATATATATATATATATATATATATACATATATGTATAAAGAAGAAAACCATTACCAGCCACCACAAAAACACAAATATACAGACCAGTGACACTATAAAGCAGCCACACACAAACAAGTCAGCATAATAAACAGCTAACACCACAATGACAGGATCAAATACACACACATCAATACTAATTCTGAATGTAAATGGGCTAAATGTCCCCATTAAAAGGCACAGAGTAGCAGGCTGGATAAAGAAGTAAGATCGAATTATATGCTGCCTTTAAAAGACCCATCTTGGCTGGGCACCATGGCTCACTCATGCCTGTAATCTCAGCACTTTGGGAGGCAGAGGTGGGTGGATTGCTTGAGGTCAGGAGTTCAAGACCAGCCTGGGCAACATGGTGAAACCCTGTCTCCACTAAAAATATAAAACTTAGCTGGGTGTGGTGGTGCACACCTGTAATCCCAGCTACTCAGGAGGCTGAGGCAGGAGAATTGCTGGAACCTGGGGGACGGAGATCTTGCAGTGAGCCAAGATCGTGCCACTGCACTCCAGCCTGGGCAACACAGCAAGACTCTTGTCTCAACAACAACAACAAAAAAGACCCATCTCACATGCAATAACACCCATGGACTTAAAATAAAGAAATGGAGAAAAATCTACCAAGCAAATAGAAAACAGACAAAAGCAGAGTTGCAATCTTAATTTCACACAAAACAGACTTTAAGACCACAAAGATCAAAAAAGACAAAGAAGGGCATTGCATAATAGTAAAGGATTCAATTCAACAAGATCTAACGATCCTAATATATATGCAGCCAACAGGAGTACACAGGTTCATAAGGCAAGTTCTTGGAGACCTACAGAGACTTACACTGCCACACAGTAACAGTGGGAGACTTCAACACCCCACTGACAGTATTAGACAGATCACTGAGGCAGAATATTAACAAAGATATCCAGGACCTCAACTCGGCACTGGATCAACTGCACCTGATAGATTCTACAGAACTCTCCACCCAAAAACGAGAGAATATATCTCATCTGCACATGGCATACTCTAAAAACCACCACACAATTGGACATAAAACAATCCTCAGCAAATGCAAAAGAACCAAAATCATATCAGCCACTCTCTCAAACCACAAATCAATAAAAATAGAATTCAAAACTAAGAAAATTGTTCAAAACCATACAATTACATGGAAATTAAACAACCTGATCCTGAATGACTTTTGGGTAAATAATGAAATTAAGGCAGAAGTCAAGAGAAACCAATGAGAACAAAGATACAACAGACCAGAATCTTTGGGATACAGCTAAGGCAGTGTTAAGAGAAATTTATAGCACTACGTGCCCACATCAAAAAGTTAGAAAGATCTACATCACAACTCAACGCGTGATGCAAAAGTGTCTACCTCCAAAGCTAGCAGAAGACAAGAAATAACCAAAATCACAGCGGAACTGAAGAAGACTGAGACACACAAAAAAAACATTCAAAAGATCAACTAAGCCAGGAGCTGGTTTTTTAAAAGAATGAATAAGATAGACTGCTAGCTAGACTAGTAAGAAAAGAGAGAAGATCCAAATAAACACAATTAGAAATGACAAAGGGGGTGTTACCAGTGATCCCACAGAAATACAAATAAACTTCAGAGACTATTGTGAACACTTCTATGCACACAAACTAGAAAATCTAGAAGAAATGGATAATTCCCTGGACATATATACCCTTCCAAGACGGAACCAGGGAGAAACTGAATCCCTGAGCAGATTAGTAATGAGCTCCAAAATTGAATCAGTAATAAATAGCCTACCAACCAAAAAAAGCCCTGGACCAGACCGATTCACAGCTGAATTCTATCAGATGTACAAAGAAGAGCTGGTACCATTCCTACTGAAACTATTCCAAAAAACTGAGGAGGAGGGCTTCCTCCCCAACTCATTCTATAAGGTCAGCATCATCCTGAGACCAAAACCTGGCAGAGATACAACAAAAAAAGAAAACTTCGGGAATATCGTTGATAAACATTGATGCAAAAATCCTCAACAACACACTAGCAAACTGAATCCAGCAGTACATCAAAAACCTAATCTACCACAATCAGGATGGCTTTTATCCCTGGGATGCAAGGTTGGTTCAATATATGCAAATCAATAAACATGATTCATCACATAAATACAGAAATTACATGATCATCTCGAAAGATGCAGAAAAGGCTTTCAATAAAATTCAACATATCTTCATGTTAAAAACTCTCTCAACAAACTAGGGTTTTAGGTTTTGTTTTGATTTTTTTTGAGATGGAATTTCACTCTTGTTACCCAGGCTGGAGTGCAATGGCGCGATCTCGGCTCACTGCAACCTCCGCCTCCTGGGTTCAAGCAATTCTCCCGCCTCAGCCTCCCAAGTAGCTGGGACTACAGGCATGTGCCACCATGCCCAGCTAATTTTTGTATTTTTAGTAGAGTCGGGGTTTCACCATGTTGACCAGGATGGTCTCGATCTCTTGACCTCGTGATCCACCCGCCTCGGCCTCCCAAAGTGCTGGGATTACAGGTGTGAGCCACCGCGCCTTTGTTTTTTGAGACAGGGTCTTGCTGTGTCACCCAGGCTGGAATGCAGTAACACAATCTCAACTCACTGCAACCTCTACTTCCTGGGCTCAAGCGATCCTCCCACCTCAGCCTCCTGAGTAGCTGGAATTACAGGTTCCCATCACCATCCCCGGCTAATTTTCCTATTTTTAGTAGAGCATGAGGTACCATGATCAGCCAACAAAGTAGGTTTTGAAGGAAGATACCTAAAAAATAAGAGCTATCTATGACAAACCCACAGCCAACATCATACTGAATAGGCAAAAGCTGGAAGCACCTCCCCTGAAAACTGACACAAGACAAAGATGTCCTCTCTCACATGGTATTGGGGGCCGGGCATGGTGGCTCATGCCTGTAATCCCAGCACTTTGGGAGGCCGAAGGGGGCTGATCACCTGAGGTCAGGAGTTCAAGACCAGCCTGGTCAACCCGGTGAAACCCTGTCTCTACTAAAAATACAAAAATTAGCTAGGTGTGGTGGTGTTTGCCTGTAATCCCAGCTACTTGGGAGGCGGAGGCTAGAGAATCACTTGAACCCAGGAGGCGGAGGTTACAGTGAGCTGAGATCATGCCACTTGTATTACAGCCTGAGCTACAAAGTGAGACTCTGTCCTAAAAAAAAAAAAACAAAAAAACGGACACTGGTAAGAGATTAAAAAGATAAGCAGACTGGAAGAGAATATTTGCAAATCACATATCTGACAGAGGACTTCTAACTAGAACCTAGAACAACAAAGAACTGTCAAGGATCAATTATAAGAAAACGATCTAATTTTAAAATGCGAAAAAGATGCACAGAGACGCTTCTCCAAAGTGGATATACAGATGACAAAGAAACATGTAAAGCAATGTTCAACATTATGAGCCATTACGAAAATGCAATAGGCCAAGCACAGTGGCTCACACCTATAATCCCAGCACTTTGGGAGGCTGATCACCCAAGGTCAGGTGTTCAAGACCAGCCTGGCCAACACAGTGAAACCCCGTTTCTACTAAAAATACAAAAATCAGCTGGTCGTGGTGGTGGGTGCCTAAAATCCCAGCTCCTTGGGAGGCTGAGGTAGGAGATCACTTGAGCCTGGGAGGTGGAGGTTGCAGTGAGCTGAAATAGCACCATTGCACTCCAGCCTGGGCAACAAGAGCAAGATTCCATCTCAAAAAAACAAAAACAAAACAATGCTGAGATACTACTACATACCTATTAGGATAGCAAAAGTAAAACTACTGACCAAGGATGTGGGGTCCTCACAACCCTCATCCGCTCTGGTGAGAATGCAAAACGGCAATGGTTTGTCAGTTTCTTATAAAGGTAAACATACACTTACCGTGTGACCCAGCCATCCCACTCCTGGGTATTTACCCTAGAGAGATGAAAACTTATGTCCACACGTAAGCCTGGACACAAAATGTTTCTAGCAACTCTACTGACAATTGCCAAAGACTAGAAAACCACCCAAATGTCCTTCTGTGGTTTGGAACAGAAAATAAATACAAATAAATATACAAGGAAACAGACTGTTGATACACAAAACAATTGGATTTGGATGAATCGCAAAGAATTAGAATGAGTTAAAGCCAGACTCGAGAGCTCATGACTGTATGATGCCGTTCATACGACAATCTCAGAAAGACAGCTACGGTGACAACTGCAACACAACGAAGACTCTGGTGGTGGAGAGCAGAGCAATGGTTGTCAGGGAATGGGGAAGAGGGGGCGTGGAGCTACAGGCGGCATGAGGAGGTTTTGAGGTCCTGTGCCCTGGGTATGGTGGTGGGTTACACAAATCTGCACAAGCACTAAAATTCATTTTCAAAACGTCAACTTATCTCATAATTTAAAAACTAAAAGAAAAAAAACAAACATACAAAACAGTAACACTGAATGCAAAATCAAAACCCAAAAAACAACAACAATGAAAACAAGTTGCAGGAGAACCACAGCTTACGATCTCAGGTTTATAGGGCAACCAACATACGCGTTTCTGTCTACAGAATGAGGCCTGAGAGGACGGTGAAGAAATCCTCATCTTTCTGTTCATGGGAGCGGAGCCCTTCGCTTCCTCTTTTTTTTCTGTACACGGTGAATGATAAAAGCCCTTCACTTTCTAACCTCATATCCTGCTTTTAATTTTTAAAAATAATCTGCACGCATGGCTTCTCAGTCAGCATAAATGCTAATGAAGACAGCACAAGCTTGAGCCGGGCGTGGTGGCAGGTGTCTGTAATCCCAGCTACTCAGGAGGCTGAGGCAGAAGAATCACCTGAACCCGGGAGGCGGAGGTTGCAGTGAGCTGAGATCGCACCACTGCACTCCAGCTTGGGCGACAGAAGGAGACTCCATCTCAAAAAAAAAAGAAAAAAAAAAAAAGAAAAGACAAGCAAAAAAAGAAAAGATAAGACAAGTGCACATTTCAGAGTGGCCCAAACTGAATCCTGCTATCAGTTACCACACAGAATGGCTCTCGGGGCCTTGCTAGTTTTAAAATGCTGCGTCTGTTTCTCAGAGGAGATAACATTCTACAGAAGAAGGAAAGAAAGGAGGCCTACCAAGAGGTTAACAGACTCGATGACGTCCAAGAACACCTCATTCTTCCGATACTTGATGCCTTCGGACCGCCAGGAAACCGCATTGGTGACGGTGGCTGGGGGCCGCGGGGCCCCTGTTTCCAGCTTGTGGCCTTCCTGGGTGATGTACCTGTGGGGCCACAAGCTCAGAGTGAAGGAGGTGGCACCCGCGCCAACGCCACAGCTTCTGGCCCTGATGTTTCGGTGGGGTCAGGGTGGGTGCAGGGGAGGTTCTGACCGACTTGAAAGCAGACCCTCAATTTAAGCAGCTCCAGAAAAGGCAGCCTCTGGTTTCACCTGGGGCTGCTTCATACAGGAAAATCTTCACCCTTTCCAAAGGCCAATACACACGCTACGGAGTCTAAAGCGCTCATTTCTGGGGCCCAAGAAGACCATGTTGGGGAGGAAAACAAGAAGTGGGTGTGAGCTGCTTCCCACCCCCGCTGAGCACGTGGGTGGGGCTGATGACCCCATCCCGCTGCGGGAGCAACAGGTGCAGGGTTGAGAACACAGGCTTCTCTGGGAGTCTGTCTGCCCACCGTAAAATGGGAAGACGGTAAATGGGGAGGCTGTGACTCAGTGAATGTAAAAGGCTGCACGTGGGGGGACTTAATTCTCATTGCCTATTATCTGAAGGGCAGGATTCCAAAGAGGGGAGATCTCAATCACGGTTATTTTATGACAGTAAAAACAAAGGAGGCTACTCCTCAGTAGCAAGGGACTTAGGGCGTCTGTGTGGATGGAGAGTAAAGATAAGGAACAGGAAAAGCACTGCTATGCTCAACTATCGAGGAGGAAACGAATTAAAACCACTGAGGCGGGAGAATCACCTGAACCTGGGAAGCGGAGGTTGCAGTGAGCTGAGATCACACCGCTGCACTCTAGCCTGGGAGACAGAACGAGACTCTGTCTCAAAAAAAAAAAAAAGATAGGACAAGCTCACATTTCAATTAATGGCCCAGACTGAATCCTGCTACCTGTCACCACCCAGAATGGCTGTTGGGGCTTTGCTAGTTTTAAATGCTGTGTCTATTTCTATAGCAGAGGAGATAAAACACTACAGAAGAAGGAAAGAAAAGAAGCCTACCAACTCAGTAAAAATCCTAACACGGCTGGTGGTGGGAGGGGGGTGGGAGACAACACGAACACACATTTGCTTTCTGTTTCCAAACCTGATGGCATCAATGTCACACCGCCCAGGCCTAGCTCCCGGCCCCACCCCCGCCCACTCACTCCTGCAGGATCTTGCTGTCGGTGGTCTGGGGGTAGCCGAAGTCCATGAGCTCGTCCAGTAGCTCGTAGATGATGACAAAGTTGTCCCGGATGCTCTCCTCCTCCAGCTCCTTGAAGTACTCGGAAAACACCTGTGGCAGTGACGGCGTGGGAAGCGGGGGAGGGACGGGAGGCAGATGGCTCAGCAAATGGTTGAGGAATGAATGAACACTTGCACACATTCATTTGCCCTCTAAGTCCTACCAACAGCCCACTTCCCAGGCTCGGGGATGTGCTACAGGGCCCTGGACACAGGTTAACGGGGCAGGACAGCGGTGGCTGGCTGTGGGGGGGGGCCAGGCTGGAGCCCCTGCAGATGTCCTCTGCGGCCTTCAGAAGCTCCACATCCCCGTTCTCTTCCCTGCCCAGACACCCCCAGGCAGGCGGCCCCTCCTGAGTGACTGTAACTGTCATCCCATCCTGAGTCTGGAGTGACGCAGGGGAGGACCTGATGAACCGCCATTTTCCCCATTTCAATGCAAAGCTCAGAGGGCTAAGGAAGGGGCGTCAAAGAAGAGGGGCTGTTAGAAGCACTTTTGCAGGCATAAGTGCCGAAGGAAGGAACACCATTGAAGCAGGAAGGAACTGCCCAACCCTCAGTTGGGGACTCTCCCCTTCCCACATCTCCTGTCTCTGATCTGCTGACCCCTGTGCGCTTCAGGACTGTGATTGCCCGGCCTCTGCTTGGAAAGCAAAGGCAGCACAGCCAGGCCCAGCCCTGCTTGTGACAGTGCCACTGGTCCAGTGAAGGAGCCCTCGGCCTGCACGTGGGGCCTTCCCAGCTGACGCTCGGCTCCATCCCCATGCCCTCCCCACCTGGGCTTGCCCCCATTCCCCAACATTCTGCACAGGTGGGATCAGTGAGGGATGAAAGCTTTCCCAGGCCTCCTGGGTCCGGGTCCCCACTTTCCTGAGCCCCACAGCCTGCCTTGGCCAGGCCCATCCTCTCCAGGAAGCCGGCAGCAGCCTCCTCACTGGCCTCCAGGCTGCCCTCAAGTCCTGCTGCTCAGCAGCCAGTCACTGCTTTAGATCAAACTGGGTCTTGTCAGTCTCCTGCTTGAAGCTCTCCACTACCTCTCATCAGATCCCCACTTCTGTATAATCCGTCCTCTTCCCAGCTGACCTCAGCCTCCCTGTCCATACCATGCACACGGCTGTCCCAGGGCCTTTGCACCAGCCACTGTCTCCATGTCACTGGCAGCCTGGGCCAGGCGTGTGTCAGCTCTCTCCAAGGTGGGCCTCGGGCCTCTGTGCCTTGAGAGCCCCCAGGGAGACTCTGAGCTGGGCTCGGCTCTGCAGCTCTGCTGTTATTCCAACCACATCAGTGGGTCACCCCACATCCTTCCAAAGCTGGCTGGGGGACTTGCTTGTCCCTTCCAGGGTCAGGGCACACCCCTGCTCTGCACCCCACCTTTTCCTGTTCACTTTCCTTTCTTCCCCAGGGTGGGGAGCAATGTGAGCTGTAGAATTCCACACAAGGGGGCTGGGCTCCCTTTTCCCACTTCCTGGGGTTCCAGCCCCAGCCCTCCCTGGGGACCCCACAGTTCTAATTAGGGCGGCCAGGTATGGGGAGGTGCAAAAGCAGAGCCAAGACAACCGCCACCCAAGCCCGCAGTCCCTCTGAGAGAGACTCACCTGTACCACCTTATAAAGGAAGGAGAACACCAGCGACACGCACGCGTTCTTCTTGGACGTGGCGACCACTGCATGGCAGCCACGGTTAAGGAGCATTCAGAGGCCGCGCAGCTGCCTGGAAGACCCCAGCTGATGGAGGCAGCCCCTAACCATCACAACCCTCAGAGCCTTCCCTACCGCCGCTCCCAGCTGTTTACGTGGCCCATGGTGGGCTACCAAGCTCCTGGTCCAAGCTGGGTCTGGGACACAGGAGTCACTGGCCAGATGTGCCCCAGGAAGCACTCACTGAGATGGAGAATCACAGAGATGGCAGGTGGCACAGGAGACCTGTCCCGGGGGCTGGGTGAGGGGCTGCCCTGAGCAGGGAGGGAGCGAGGCTCATTCCAGGAACAGAAAGCAGGATGCACTGGCCCTGCTTCTCCAAAGGCGACCTCATCATGACCCTGCTGAGATCCAGGGTCCCCCGGCCAGACTCTGTGGCAAGTAGCCAGGGCCAATTCTGGCTTCAGTCCTTCCTGGCTTTGGAAACACAAGCCGTGGCCTTGAAACAAACCTTTCTAGAGAAACCTCGATATTTTTCTCCTGTGTAATGGGGGCCTGTGAATTGAATGAATTCACTGAGGCAGTGTACATGAGACATTTGATGCAGATGTTCCTTTCTGCCCCGGGTGCCTCCCAGGGTCAGTGTGCTGGGCGCTTCCTGTTCCTTTTTCCCTAATGGGCTCCCAGGCTACCAGAGCAGGCTGGTTCCTCCTCTATAGGCTCACGCACTGTGCCCCCGACATCCCTGCTCATGGCTTGTCTGTGCCACGTGGCTTGTTTGCCCAGCAGTGAGCTCTAGGGGGTAGGGCGGGGGCTGTATCCTCTCCCTTCTCACCTCACCCCAGCACAGGGGCCCAGGAAGGGGACGCTGGCCCAGTCACACGAGTGCTGGCCTCCCTCCTGCTGCCTGGCAACACGCCCTCCCCAGATGCTTTATAAGCAGTGGCAGTGGGTGGCTCTCACCCAGGGCCTTGCTGAGAATTGTCCCGGCTAGAGGCAAAGGATGTCCACTCAGCCAGAAAGGTGAGCCCTCCCTGTCTCTTCCCCAGATGCCCAGGTGTGAAATGTAGGGGTCCAAGCAGAAACTGATCTGATGGCTCCTGCTGAGCTCAGACCACAGCCCCTCACCCTCCTCCCAATACCTGGGCGGCCTCAGAGGACTGTCAACTCCCCGGGTTAAAAGCCACCAAAGATCAGCTTCAGAGCTATTCTCAGGGTCTTCCAGAGCCAGGAGAAATCTCCACAGAGGCAGGCCACAGGGAGCCAGGTGAGGGCCCTGGACCAGCACGGCCCACATGGGAACATGCACACGACCCACTAGGAACGATCTTGCTGCAATGCAGATTCTGATGGGCAGGGCTGGGTGAGTGTGGGATTCTGCCTTTCCAGGGGGCTCCCAGGAGATGTTCTGGCCCACTGGCCACGCTGTACTGGCAAGGCCCCGTGTCTCCAAGAACATAGGAAAGGGCACGGAGCCCACATCTGCTGGGAGCAATGTGCACAAGTCAGCTCAACTGACCTGACAACCCCTCAATGTGCAGCGAGGGGTCGTCGTTCCCGCTGAACTGTGGGAGGGTGAGGGATTCGCCTCCAGCCCCATGGCTGCTGGAGCTGGGGCTCACACTGGGCTGTGAACCACACAGCCAGGCTCTTTCCGTAGTAGTGCAGGTATTGCAATGTGCCTGAAGGTCTGCCCAAAGCTGTGGGATGGCCAGTTAGACCTCCTGGGTAGAAACTGGCTTGGCCAAGTCTCCACATGGGTCCAAGGACAGGAAGGGCAGGGGGCTCTGAGATCTGGGCGGGGCTGGGAGGAGCCTGTCACCTTCTCTGCACCCCACCACCCCTCCGTGGTCCAAGCCACTTCCCCTCCCAGCTGCACGACGACCCCAGCCTACTCCCGACCTACCCATGTCCTCTCCTGTCCCCACTGTCTTGCCCCACTCAGCAACCAGAAACCTCCAGAAGGTACATATCTAAAAGCCACCAAAGACTTTCTGTCGCATTTCAGATGATGTTCTTTGAGACCCCAGACCCCGCTGACCACTCCAGCCTCGCTGCTGCCACACGTCCCCTCTTGAGGGCTCCAGCCACCCCGAGTGCAGCTGCTGGAATGAGCCTCTGTCCTGCAGATTCTTCACCCACGCCCAGTGCCTGTCCATCCCTCCAGCTGGCAGAAGCCAGGCTTCCTCCAGGGTGTCTCTTCCCTTCCTGGGCCCCTGAGCCAAAGGATTTCAAGTCACACCCGCTCCTCTCCCCACACCCGTCACACGTGTCATAACGCGTTCTCTGCCTGTCTCCGCAGGCAGCAAGGAGCTCCGGGAGGGCATGGCTGTGTCCCATGGCTGCCGCTGTGCCCAAATCAGCTCTGGTTGCCGGTGTGTAGATGTGCACACACACCCACACAGGAGTCCCCTGGGGGCGCCCCCAGCAAAGGGATACAGTACAGGTTGTTGTGTTTGATCCACATGAAGCGGACCCCTCCGTGGGCCAGGATGGGTGACAGCATCCCCTCCTCTTCCTTCTCCATCAGGATCGGCATGAAGTGCTCCACCTCTGACATGTCCACGTCGCCACGGTAGTTCCGGCAGATGAGCACCTGTGGTGGGGAAGGAAGAGAGAAGACGCTTGCATTTTCAGTTCTTCAATCCAGGGGCTGGGGGCAGCGGGTGAGATGCACCAGCCTGCTTCCCTCAGGGTCCCTGATCATGGCCCCTGTCTGCACAAGAGCAGGACTCGAGGCCATTCTGGTCTCCATCCCCCAGGGAATTCCTGGAGAAGAGTATCTCCCAGTGTGAGCTTCCACAGGGGCCACCGCAGTTCCTTGCAGGGTGAGCGTAGATGGGGACTCTGCAGCAAGGGTCCAGGACCGAATCACTCCGAGACAACACGTTAAGCAATGCCTCACAAGCTCTCAACACGGGCCTTGTCAGAGCCTTTCCCGTGTTAACGCACCCTGCTTTCCTGTCTGGGTCAGGGCACCCATTCCTGCTGAAGGTTCGTATTTCCTGAAGTCCATGGGTACTCTGAAGAGGAGACGCCCTTCCTGGTCTCTCTCTTTCATAGCCTGTGGGTCAGGATACACAGCATCTAGAACCCCTGTCCACTGCTGATGGGAATGGAAAATGGGATAACTACTTTGGTGAAGTCTGGCAGTTTCTGAAAAACTGAAACCCAGAGTTACCGTACGACCCGGTCATTTCTCTCTTTGGTATTTATCCAAGAGAAATGAAATCACATGTCTGTACAAAGACTAGCACGAGATGTTAACAGCAGCTTTAATTGAAACAGACCCAGACTAGAAACAATGACAATGTCCTTCAACAGGTAAACTAGAAACAAACCGTGTCCAGCACGCCATGAGAAACACACCTCAGCAATGAACGGGACGGGACTCCCAACACATGGACGGATCCCACAGTCACTGTGTCCTGAACACCATGAGAACATACCTCAGGCTGGCGGAGTGGCTCACTCCTGTAATCCCAGCACTTTATGAGGGTGAGGCGGGCAGATCACCTGAGGTCAGGAGTTGGAGACCAGCCTGACTAACGCGGGAAATCCCGTCTCTACTAAAAATACAAAAATGAGCTGGGTGTGGTGGCAGGCGCCTGTAATTCCAGCTACTCAGGAGGCTGAGGCAGGAGAACCGCTTGAACCCGGGAGCAGAAGGGTGCAGTGAGCCGAGACTGTACCATTGCACTCCAGCCTGGGCAACAAGAGCAAAACTCCACCTCAAAAAAGAAAAGAAAAAAAAAAAAGGAGAGAAACACGTCTCAGCAATGAAAGGCATCGGACTCCTGATACAGGGACATATCCCACGACCACTCTGCTGGCTGAAAGAAACCAGACAAAGGAGAGCTCATCCTGGATGACTGCACGTATAGAAAATCCTAGAAAACGGTGATGAAACACACATCGGTGGCTGCCTAGGAATGGGGCTGGACAGCAAAGGGCATGAGGAAGCTTTAGGGGCGATGGAATGCGGGTTACGCCTCCCAACGACTGAGCTCATCAAACCGTACAAAGTGCAGGTTATTGCACCTTGTTGAAAGAATAAAAAGGAGGTCGGAAGCTTTGCTAGCCTGGGCACAGCTGCGGTTGGAGATGCCGCTCAGAGCAGCTGTAGCTTTTGGAGCCCGCAGGACAGCCAGTGGCAGGACTCAGCAATGCGCTGGCTGAGAAGGCCATGGCGGCGCTGACCATCCTGGGAACCGCCTGCCTCAGAACCTGTCATTCATCACACACTGCCTTTATTCTCTCAAGGCAGGGCTGGGAGGGATGAGGATGGTACCTTCCTTTCCCAGTCCTGTGGGACTGACTGGAGGGAGGCAGGTGATGACCTGTTGAGGAAACAGACCCTCCCCCTGCTGTCACTCTTGACCCCCCCAGGTCTTTCCTCACAAAGGGTGACAGGGCTCTTCCTACACAGAAGCCAGACGGGGTCTCTTTCCTGCTGCTGAACTGCCACCTACTCCAGCCTCCCCGGCACTGAGAACAAACCCCAAGCTCATCCCCGTGGTTCCCAAGGACCAGCGTAGTCCGGCCCCTCACGGCCCCTCTGACGCCTCTCTGCCTGTGCTGCCCTGATTCACTTCACTCCAGCCTGGGTGATCTGAATGATCCACATCTGTTCCCGCCTCGGGGTCTTTGTCCTGGCCTGGCTCTTCTCATTTCTCAAGCCTCAGTTCAAACGATACCTCCTTTAAGAAGTCCTCCCTGCTTGCTCTGGCTGGGATCATGTCCTGTCCCTCTGTACCCTGACCCCTGCTTTATCTTCAGTGTCCCTATCACCTGCTGCGTTATACATTTATTTGTATCCTCATTTACTGTCTGACCTTCCCTGAGAACAGCGACTACTCTGTCTCATTCAAAGCTGTGTCCCAGCACCCAGATCGGGGCATGGCCCATAGTAGGCACTCAGTAAACATTTGTGGAGTGAATACCGGGGTGACGAGAAAAAGGAGGTGAGGAAAATGTGTAGGTCTTGTGCAGATGGCTATATGGGTAATGGCATCACTTAGAGGGAGAGCAAGCAGGCACGGGGAGTGCATTTTGACGAATGCCCAGTTTGTGGTGGTGGCAGGACCTCCCAGTGTCCCAGCAGCCAGTGGATCTCCAGGTAAGTGCTGTGGACAAAGTCGAGGGTCACCGGCCCATGGACATGGGTCACATCACCTGGGAAGAGTGACAGCATGGGGAGGCATGCGTAGGCCTGAGCCACTCAATAACCCTGGGGAGGGCAGAAAAGGAGGAGAACAGGCAGCGCGAGAAACCCCAGAGTGCAGCTTCCCGGAAGCGGAAGGGAGCACCGTGGAGGAGGCGGTCGGTGATGTCAGAAGCAGAAGAGAGCACCGCAGAGGAGGTGGTCAGTGGTGTCAGAAGCTGCTGAGAAGCCAGCCCGATAAAGCTGAGAAGCTTCCTACCAGGAGAGCTTTCTCCTAGCCAGTGTGGCCACGCCAATGTCCCTGATAACCAGACATGTGGCCATGAATTTCTCAATGTGCTTTATTTTTGATGAAATACAGTGGGCTCACGAGGCTGACTTTGGAAACATGAGGTCCGTGGGTTGTGGAATAAGAAAGGGTGTCTTGGTTGCAGAGGAAGGGAGGGAAGCCCACAGCTGCCTTGGGGAGCTTCCTGAAAGGCAGGTCTGATCACGCCTCTCTGGGCTACGGTCTCCTCACAGTGGCTGCTCCTTCTTGGAACTGAAGTGGTCCCCTTGGGCTCTCTCTCCCAGCTCAGCATTAGTCAGGACTTCTGGCTTGGCAGCCCCAGCAGGCTGCCCCTTCTGTCCCTTGCAATGCCTCTTTTCCACCTGACCTGGTCACCGTCCAAACCCCCTCCAGCATCGCCCTGTTCCAGGAGGCCTTTTGTAACCACCTTCCCCGTCCACTGGCTAAAGACAAGGTTGAGCAACTGCGGTACTTAGGACCTTGGTCCTGCCACTGTGGTTGCCTGGATCCAACCGTGTACTAATGTCTCTGCTTCTAGGTGATTCCCCTGCTAGATGGAGAGGCCTGGGAAGGCTAACGTGGACCATGAGTGGTGCTGAACCTGTCTCATGCATCTGCTCAGCAAATCTGCACAGTAAGTCCATAAAAGCCTCTTTTGGCCAGGCACGGTGGCTCACGCCTATAATCCCAGCACTTTGGGGGGCCGAGGAGGGTAGATCACCTGAGGTCAGGAGTTCGAGACCAGCTTGGCCAACATGGAGAAACCCTATCTCTACTAAAAATACAAAAAATTAGCTTAGTGTGGTAATGGGTGCCTGTAATCCCAGCTACTCAGAAGGCTGAGGCAGGAGAATCACTTAAACCTGGGAGGCGAAGGTTGCAGTGAGCTGAGATCACGCCATTGCGCTCCCTGGGTGGCAAGAGCGAAACTCCGTCCAAAAAAGAAAAAAAGCCTCTTTTGACCAGTGAGAAAAGCGAGGTTCAGAGAGAAGAGGCTTGTCCCAGCTAAGTGGCAGAGATGGGTTTTCAGCTCAGCCCTAACACCACAGCCACAGTGCCAATGGATACCCTATCCCTGGCACAGGACAGGGTGCATGCTAGACGCTCATGAAATGTTTGCTGAAGGCATAAGCAAGCCAAGACAGGCAGCCTGCTGGCACGGCTGGAGAGGCAGTGGCCGGGCAGAAGCAAGACTCATGCCACCAGGGCTCAGGGAACACCACACCCACCCAGCCTCTGGCTTGCCTCTAAGAAGGCGGGAGAAGCAAGGCCGGCACTGGGTCTCACTAGGTGTTGACTGTGGGCGGCTTCCAGGGCAGGCACCTACTCAAGGGACTTCAGGAAAGTGCTGGGGTGGTGTGGGGCAGGAAGTGGCAGCCACTTCACTTCTTCACTCCCAGGGGCTTCAGAGCTCACTCCTGCCCACCTCTCACCTAGGACCTGACACCCACGTTTGTTTCTCTCACTGATCAATGTTGGGCTAACATTGTTGGACCGGTTCTTGTTGCTTCCACACACAACAGGCCAAGCAGCCACTTGCTGTGCACCTGGGATGGACTTGGGAGAAGGCAGAGGCCCATTCTGAAAAGGCAGAGACAATCCTGCCTTTAAATTTTCTCAGATCCTCTGGGGAGGATGCCCGGGTTCTCATTTATGTCCACCTTGCTGGTGTCTCAGGTCCATTTGTCACCTTTGCTCAGGGAAACCCTCTCTCATTCTCTGACTGAGGCTGACTGTCCCTGTTACACACTCACCCCGCCCCACCACTGCAACTGACATTTATTTGTGGTTTTGGAGATCGGTATCCATCTCCCCCATCAGCCTGTGAACGTCATAAGAACATGGATTGTTGAGCCCTAGCACAGTGACTCACTCCTGTAATCCCAGCACTTTGGAAGGCCGAGACAGATAAATCGCTTGAGGTCAAGAGTTCGAGACCGCCTCGTCAACATGATGACACCCCACCTCTACTACAAATATAAAATTTAGCTGGGTGTGGTGGTGGACACCTGTAATCCCAGCTACTCCGGAGGGTGAGACAGGAGAATTGTTTGAGCCCAGAAGGTGGAGGTCGCAGTGAGTGGAGATTGCGCCACTGCACTCGAGACTGGACAACTGACACTATCTCAAAAAAAAAAAAAGAGGGGGGACTGGTATTTGCTAAACACAAATCGACCCCAGGCTTAGTACCCTGCCCAGCATTAGTAGTGCTCCCTAGATATCAGATGAATTAACAAATGATTCTGGATCGGACTCCTAGACTTGCTACTTCTCTGTGACCGGTGTGACCTTGGTCAGGTTGCTTCACCTCTCCGTGCCTCAGTTTCTCCCTCTATAAAATGGCACTCGTGATCACCACCCACCTCACCTAAGCCTTATAAGTATCACAATGAACGTGGAGAAATTCCTACTGAGAGAAAGTGCACGGTAAACAGAAGCTGCAACGCCCTGAGAAGGCGGGACTGGCTGGAGGGCACCCAGTCCCCGCCACGCCTCGCCACCCCTGGCCAAGGGTCGCGCAGCCCCTGGACGCCCTGCCTGGCTCCCGGGACGGCTGCGGCCAGAGCCCCTGGTCCCTGCGCCTGAGAGCAGGGGCGCGGCAGTCGGTTACCTGGCAACGCGGTGGCCACAGCCCACCGCGTTACCTAGCAGCAGGGTGGGGCAGAGCCACTGCAGACCCCCGCCCAATTACCCAGAAAGAAACAGGGTGTGAATCTCCGGTGAGGTCTACCGGCCTCCTAGCCTCACACCAGGGTGGAGCTCACAGGCCGGTTACCTAGCAACAGGGTGGGTCCCCGCGGGGAGGAGGACCCCGCCAGTTGCCGGGCAACGGGGAGGGTGGGGAGCCCTCAGTACCTTGCCCTTCAGGTCCAGCACGTAGACGGCGCTGGCGGACATGGTGGCTGCAGGAGGCCTCGGCAACGGCCGAGGGCGGCGGCGGCGACGGTGGGGGCTACCGGGCGTTGAGCGAGGCCGGGCGCGGCCCGCAACAGCTCACCTCCACTTCCGGTTCGGAGAGCCGCGCGGGGACCGTTATGTCCGGTCCCGGAGTTGTCAGGAATGCGCAGGCGCAAGACGGAGTGTGCGCAGGCGCAGGACGTCAAATGTGACCATGCTTCTTGCTCCCGCCCGAAGAATCCCGGAAGTAAGGCCCTTGCAGGGCGGGGCCAACTAAATCAGGCCACCCGGTGGCCGCTGCCTTTTGAGCAATTGATCCAGAGCAGCTGAAAGCCGCCTCCGGTGGAACTTATTTAGCCGCTTCCCGTGGGCCGAGTTAGGCGAGAGAGCCTGGTGGTGGAACCGATCTGGGGGCCAGCCCTATAGAGCTCACAGTCTGGTGGGGAAGCCTATGAAACAAGTGTACCAATTGTAAGCTCAAAAGTGAGGGGTAAGGCCGTGGTTACTTGCAAAGAGGTCAAACTATCTGAATGGGAGTCAAACCTTATTATCGGTCACCACCTGTCAGTGTCAACATTTATCAGTGAATGGGCGTCCCTGTTTATTGCCTGGAATGTTGTAAAAACCAGCCTCATTGAACCTTGACCCAAAGTACCGTGTTTCATTTCTGCAAAGTTAGAAGTCAGTAATGCAACTGGTGGCTCCTGATGAATCCATTGAATCATATTTAATTTGCTTTTATGAATGATGGGGCTTTCGAGAAATGTCTGCATTCTGTTCCAATTAGCCATCATAGTACCCTGGGGATCCCAACCCTGCAATATCGGAGTGATTTACCCAGGATGCCTGTCTCTTTCATATATTTTATCTTCCCTCCTATCTCCGTTTTGGAGTTTGGAAAGATGATTTTTTGCAATTCGGTAATTATATAGCTTTTGCTTAGGATAGAAATGTGACTCCCAGCACTTTGGGAGGCTGAGGCACATGGATCACCTGAGGTCGGGAGGTCGAGACCAGCCTGGCCAACATACTGAAACCCTGTCTCTAATAAAAATACAAAATTAGCTGGGTGTGGTAGCACATGCCAGTAATCCCAGCTACTTGGGAGGCTGAGGCAGGAGAATCGCTTGAACCCAGGAGGCAGAGGTCGAGGTAAGCCAAGATTGCACCATTGCACTCTAGCCTGGGTAACAAGAGCGAAACTCCATCTCAAAAAAGAAAAAAAAAAATGAAAAAGAAAAAACAAACGTAACTGAAACTCTAGAAAAGCAAAGTAGAATGTTTGAAGACTACTAAGTGACTCCTGGGTTGGAAGGGTTCTTGCACAAGGCACAGAGCAAGCAGCCAAGAGGCTTGTTTTTTGCTTTTTTTTTTAAACGGAGTCTCGCTCTGCCACCCAGGCTGGAGTGCAATGGCGCAGTCTCAGCTCACTACAACCTCTGCCTCCTGGGTTCAAGCAATTCTCCGGCCTCAGCCTCCCGAGCAGCTGGGATTACAGGCATGTGCCACCATGCTGGGCTAATTTTTCTATTTTTAGTAGAGACACGGTTTCACCACATTGGCCAGGCTGGTCTCAAACTCCTGACCTCAGGTGATTCACCCACCTCAGCCTCCCAAAGTTCTGGGATTACAAGGGTTAAGTTAAATATTAAAAGTTGAGAGTGCTCTTATACAAAGGGTGGGATGTAACAAAAGCCCACCCAAAGTGCTTTGTGCGTAGGCCTTTCCTGGGCCTTGAAGCATGATATGATAACGAAGTAATTCTTAACAGGACCCATTTAGGATTAAACAAGCTTTATTGGAGATCTGAAGAAACTCCCCAGGCCTCCACAAACAACTTTATTGGGGTTTGAAGGAACTCCCCAAACCTCCGTGATTTAGCAGGAGACAAGAGGAATCATCACCCCAGCACCTGGTCCCACTTAGATTAAGTATATTTACTGAGGCTGCAGAGGAAGATCTGCAGGACTCAGATGTTAGTAATAGGTTAAAACGATATAATCACTTACGGTCGGGCACGATGGCTCACGCCTGTAATCCCAGCACTTCGGGAGGCTGAGGCGGCTGGATCACTTGAGTGCAGGAGTTCGAGACCAGCCTGACCAACTTAGTGAGACCCTCCCCACCGCCCTGCCCCCATCTCTACTGAAAATACAAAAATTAGCCGGGTGTGATGACACGTGCCTGTAATCCTGGCTACTCAGGAGGCTGAGGCAGGAGTACGGTTGAACCAGGGAGTTGGAGGTTGCAGGGAGCTGAGATTGTGCCATTGCACTCCAGCTTAACAACAGAGCGAGACTCCATCTCAATAAATAAAATAAATAAAGATACGATGCTGGGTGCTGTGGCTCACGCCTGTAATCCCAGCACTTTGGGAGGCTGAGGCAAGAAGACTGCTTGAGCCCAGGAGTTTCCCACCAGCCTAGCTAACATGGTGAAACCTCATCTCTACAAAAAATACAAAAACTAGCTGAGTGTGGTGGCACGCACTTACAGTCCCAGCTACTTGGGAGGCTGATCCAGGAGAATCATTTGAGCCTGGGTGGTAAAGTCTGCAGTGAGCTATGATGGCACCACTGCACTCCAGCCTGGGCAACAGAGACCCTGTTTTTGAGACCCTGTCTCAAAAACAAAAAGAAGATACGCTTTTCTAAAACATTACAATTAATTGGGCAAAATATGAGGTTAAGGTCCAATAGGGTTTGTTACATATCACATCTGTTAACTCTTGCTGAACAGACCCTGATGTCCTTCCTTAGCAGTAGAAAGTCATAGTTGTGGCCGAGTGTGTATCTTACACCCACAATCTCAACACTTTGGGAGGCTGAGGTGGGAGGATCACTTGAGGTTGAGGCCAGTAGTTTGAGGCCAACCTGGGCAACACAGGGAGACCCTGTCTCTACAAAGAAACAAATCAGCTGAGTGTGGTGATGTGCACTTGTGGTCCCAGCTACACAGGAGGTCAAAGTGGGAGGATTACTTGAACCTAGGAGGTCAAGGCTGCAGTGGGCTATTATCACACCACTGCAGCCTGGCCAGTAGAATTAGACCTCATCTCAAAAAAAAAAAAAAAGTCGGCTGGGCTCGGTGACTCACCGGGCTTGGTGCTCCCTGCACTTTGGAAGGCCAATGTGGGCAGATCACGAGGCCAGACTGAGACCTTCCTAGCCAACATGGTGAAAACCCGTCTCTACTAAAACATAAAAAATTAGCTGGGGTGGTGGTGCGCACCTATAGTCCCAGCTACTCGGGAAGCTGAGACAGGGGAATTGTTTGAACCCAGGAGGCAGAGGTTGCAGTGAGCTGAGATCATGCCACTGCACTGCACTCCAGTCTGGCAAAAGAGCGAAGACTGTCTCAAAAAATAAAAATAAAAAAAATAAATGTCATGGTCCAGACATCTCGTCAGATTCCTTTCAGAGCGTATTCATTGGGCAATTAGTATCAAGTCTCAGTGGTTCACGCCTGTAATCCCAGCACTTTGGGAGGTCGACGCAGGTGGATCACCTAAGTCAGGAGTTCGAGACCAGCCTGGCCAACATACTGAAACCCTGTCTCTACTAGACATAAAAAAATAAGCTGGGTGTGGTAATGTGTGCCTCTAATCCCAGCTACTAAGGAGGGTGACAGTCAGAAGACTCACTTGAACCTGGGGGGCGGAGGTTGCAGTGAGCTGAGATCTCGCCACTGTACTCCAGCCTGAGCGACAAGAGTGAAACTGTTTCAAAAAAAAAAAAAAAATTTGGCCAGGTGTGGTGGCTCACGACTGTAATCCAAGAACTTTGGAGGCCAAGGCGAGCGGATCACCTGAGGTTGGGAGTTCAAGACCAGCCTGACCAACATGGCAAAACCCCGTCTTTATTTAAAAAACAAAACAAAACAAAAAAATTTAACTTAACCACTCAGTACTAGAACAGTCATTATGGAGGCCTGTGTTAGTGAGACCTGGTCTGCTACAACCCCCCCACCCCCCGCCGCTGCCGCCACCACCACTGCCACCACACACAGTAAGAATCTGTTCCCCAGGCTGGCTTTAAACTCCTCGGCTCAGACAACCCTCTGGCCTCAGCCTCCCAAAGTGCTGGGATTACAGGCGTGAGCCAGCGTGCCTGGCCCTCTCCTAACGGCAATTTTATGTCCTTTAACCAATGTCCCCCAACTCCACACTCCACCCCCCAGCCCCTGGTAACCATCCTTCTACTCTCTGAGTTCAACTTTTTTAGATTCACAGAAGTGAGACCACGTGGCATCTGTCATCCTAAAATGCACCAATTTAGGCCGGGCGCGGTGGCTCACACCTGCAATCCCAGCACTTTGGGAGGCCAAGGTGGGCGGTCTTGAGTTTGAGACCAGCCTGGCCAACATGGTGAAACCCCATCTTTACTAACATACAAAAATTAGCTGGGCATGGTGTTGGGCACCCAGCTACTCGGGAGGCTGAGGCAGGAGAATCGGATGAATCTGGGAGGTGGAGGTTACAGTGAGCCAAGATCCCATTTCTGAACTCCAGCCTGGGCAACAGAGCGAGACTCTGTCTCAAAAAATAATAAAAAGAAATAGGCAATGTGGACGGAGATCCTGGAGGTTGGGATGCCACCCTGACTTTCTGGCCCCAGGAAAGCCAACACAACTAAATGAGTGAACTGAACCACACTCCATGGAGCAGAATCCTCCAGCCGAGCAGGGTCCACCCACAGAATTGTGATAATGAATCTTCACTGTTTTAAGTCACTACCTTTTGGTGGTGTTTGTTATTTGGGGAGACAGAACTTAAGTAACTACTTTTCCACTGCACTGACGACGGGTTTCCACAGTACTACATGATGCAGACGCCTGCTGCTGGCTCATGGATAAAGGTCTGCAACTGTCTTTCCGCCAGGCCATGGGAGAACTGCTGCTGAAAGCAACGCTCATCAGAATGCATGTCCTCTCTCTCGGGTGTGAGCCACAGGCGGGGACAGATGTGCCATCCGAGTTCTTCCAACTGAGTTGCTGTTTTCCAGTATGCATATTTTTCTGTGCCACAAATCCAAAAGGCAGCATTTAGATGATAATTAAATAGCCTCTAAGATGACACTCAGACTTGATCGGGCGCAGTGGCTCACGCCTGTAATCCAGCACTTTGGGAGACCAAGGCAGGTGGATCACAAGGTCAGGAGTTCGAGACTAGCCTGGCCAAGACGGTGACACCTGTCTCTACTAAAAAGACAAAAAATTAGCCAGGCGTGGTGGCAGGCGCCTGTAGTCCCAGGTACTTGGGAGGCTGAGGCAGGAGAATTGCTTGAACCCGGGAAGTGGAGGTTGCAGCGAGCTGAGTTCACACCACTCTACTCCAGCCTGGGCCACAGAGCGAGACTGAGACTCTGTCTCTTTAAAAAAAAAAAAAAAAAAAAAAAAAAAAAAAAAGGCACTCATAATAATTGGTTTTTGCTTTACTGTGTAATTTACACAGGACAACCCTAAATCCCACACTTGGTTTTTCTCTTCTGCCTTCGATTTTCTTTCAATAGCTCCATCACCAGAGATTATTTCTCCAGCGGCACATGTGGTTTGATTGTCAACCAGGACACACAGGCCCTACAAGATCCCTGCCCTCCACCATGGATGCCTGAGGCTTCCCATCGGACTGCACCCATGTCTGTCTGTGCTGGCGCTCTGCCCTGCTCCTGTTGTTATTTGGGGAGAGAGAACTTAAGTAACTACTTTTCCACTGCACAGGCGACGGGTTTCCACAGTATTGCATGATGCAGACGCCTGCTGCTGGCTCATGGATAAAGGTCTGCAACTGTCTTTTCCTGAGGCGTCCTTAGGGTAGGAATGCCAAACAGGTTCCGAGTGATGTGTCAACTCTGAGTAAATACGAGAGGTTGCTAGGAGCCCCCGGCTGAGGACTGAGAGGCAGGCTATACCGGGGTTCCATGTCAAAGAATGCTGTGATCCACTAGCAATGTCTGCCATGGCAACGCCCATTAGAAGTACCTGGAAGGAGGGTTTTGGGAACAGGCTCAGAAAGGAACAAGGCATGTCTGTTCCATTCTTCCCCTAGGTGGCTGTTTTGCCGGCCAGGCTGCGCTGTCTCAGTGGCCACGTGGCTGAGGAGGAAGTCTCAAGACCACAGAGTTGCAAGTGGCTTCTCTGGGGCCTGCAGGGAATAGCACAGCCCCAAGCTACAGGAAGCTCGCAAGGGCACCCACGCTGGGTCCTGTGGGGTTCTGCATACGGCAGGCCACCTGGCATTAACAGCTCCTGACCCTCTGGAGTCCGTCTCATCCAGGAGAAGACAACTGGCTGGCCCCAGAGCGTTAGCTGCAACTCGGGGGTAAAAACATTTACCTCCGGAAAAACTTAGAAACTTTCCATCCAAACGAAAAGGGTATATCTTCTATATGTTGCCAAGAAACCTAAACTGAGGACAAGGACAATTTTACTTTAATCAAGTTCCAGAATGAGGGTGCACAGCTTCGAAGAGCAGTCTGTAGCAGAAGACGCGAGGGTGTGTGTAAAGCCGTGTGTCTAGAATATACCAAAGGAATCACACACAACCCCAGCGGGGCCTTTGGCGAACCCTCGATGCGGCTCCATCCCGGGCGCAGGCAGCTACTTCGTCCAGCTGACTTTGGGAATGTCGTAATGCTCCGTGAGTGTGTCCAGGTGTCTGTTAAAGTCCTGGGAAAGCAGAGTGGAAGGCCAGTGTCAGCACAGACCCAAGTGGGGTGCTGGGGAGAAGCAGCACTGCGCAGCCCCGTCTCTCCCACATCCCCTCTCTCCTGGCCCCTCCTCTCAAACTCACCCTGCCAGGCCTTAGACACCTGAACCCTGGGCTCACCTTTGAGTAGCCCTAGGGAAGTGTCATTTCTGTTGGGTAAGCTTCCCTTCTCATCAACATGCCAACAGCTCCCTCTGCCAGGCTGTTAGCCTCTGGGCCCGGCTGGGACCCTGAATGCCTCAGCTTCCCCCACCGGACACAGTGACTCACCTCCACTCTCTGCTTGTGGGTTTTAGATGCTTTCTTCAGGATCCTTTCCATTTGCTGAAAAGAGAAGAGACACGGAGGTGAGTTTACAGGCTCCACACAGCCCAGGCCGGCATGGGATGGAAGACGGAGCCCTGGCCAGCCCAGCTCTCACGTTTAGAACAGCTGGAGGTTTCAGGCTGTGTGCCTTGCCCCCTCCCTCAGCTGCACTCAGGCTGGTCCAACAGGGAACCCAGGTCAGTTACCAGCCTCGTGAGTGGCAGGAAATGGACCAGCAATGCCTGAGTACATACCCACGAGCAGACTCTGCTGGGAGCTGTCAACACACTTCCCACATCCTGAGGTGACCGACAGCACTCCCAGTTTGGAGAAAAACAAAGTCTCAGACGGGGTTTGAGGAATGATGAGAGAGAGAGAGGTAAAGAGCCCAACACGGAGCAGGCACTCCAGTGACACTTCCCATACTGACGTCAGGGCTTCAAGACCAGGATCGCTGTCCCCAGCGTGACTCTGAAATATGTATCCTGCACAATGACCTGCTCCAACCTTCACTTCAAACACTCAATGACACCTGGAAAGGTCAGTATCTGGGAGCAGCTGGGACTGTGGACTGGGCACGGTAGCCCATGCCTGTAATGCCAGCACTTTGGGAGGTTAAGGCAGGAGGAGAGCTTGAGCCCAGGAGTTCAAGGCTAGCCTGGGTAACGTGAGGAGACCCCAACTCTACAAAAAAAATCAGCTGACTGTGGTGGTGCATGCCTGTGTTCCCAGCTACTGGGGAGGCTGCGGGGAGAGGACTGCTGGACCCAGGAGGCTGAGGCTGCAGTGGGCTATGATCACACCACTGTACTCCAGCCTGGGCGACAGAGTGAGGGAGACCCTGTCTCAAAAAAACAAAGAGTTGGGAGTGTGGGACACAAAGCCAGACGGACCCGAGGCCACACACTTCCTAGCTGGGCGACCGTGGCCCACTCTTTGGTGGCCCCCATGACCCCTGCTGCGTATTAGTCACTGCTCGTGCAGTTCCCGTGCCTCTGAGCTGGCCGTCGACTCAGTTAACTCAAAAGAACACGGTGCCAGTTCTGGGTCCATGCATAAGCCCTGGCAGCGTTAGCTTCAAGCCCTTGGAAGCCAGTCGCTGTGCAGGAAGTCTGATGGCCTTGCTGGAAAGAAAGGACCTGGAAGATGAGATGACACAGAGGGAGGGGCCACGAAAGAAACACTGAGAGGTCGGGCGTGATGGCTCACGCCTGTAGTCCCAACACTTTGAGGGCAGAGGCAGGCGGATCACTTGAGGTCAGGAGTTCGAAACCAGCCTGGCCAACATGTTGAAACCCCGTCACTACTAAAAATACAGAAATTAGCCGGGTATGGTGGCGTGCACCTGTAGTCCTGGCTACTCGGAAGGCTGAGGCAGGAGAATCACTTGCACATAGGAGGTGGAGGTTGCAGTGAGTGTGATCGTGCCACTGAACTCCAGCCTGGGCGACAGAACAAGTCTCTGTCTCAAAAAAAAAGAAGCACTGAGGCACCAGCTATATGATGGCAAAGCCAACTTAGATGCTTCAGCACAGCTGCACCTACAGAGACTCCAGACCCAGCTGCCATCTGACTGCACCAGACTCCAAGTGAGGTCAGCAGGAGAACTACCCCGCTGAGCCCAGTCCCCCCAGAGCACCATGAGATATTATTAGTAGGGGCCACCTGGCTGCTCCTCTCTGTCCCCGCTTCTCCTTCTCTCCCTCCTCACCTCCTCCTGTGTCCAGTCAGCCCCCGCCTGGCTGATTCTCCCGCTAAGGGATGCACCCTGCCCATCTCTGCCCCTCTGCCTGCTGCTGTGAGCCCAGCCGAAGCCTGTGTCTCCTCACAAGAAGCCACACTGACTTGTCCAACTGCCACACAATGCCAGGTACCTGGCTGGGCTCTACCCACAGGTGTGGCACCCAGGTAATATTTTAGTTTTTGCAGAGACATGGTATCGCTATGTAACCCAGGCTAGTCTCAAACTCCTGGCCTCCCAAAGTGTTGGGATTACAGGTATGAGTCACTGTGCCTGGCTGACTCCACTTGGATTGGATTTCTAACGGGGCACCCCATTTACCATTTTTTTTTTTTTTTTTTTTTTTTTTTTTTTTTTTTGAGATGGAGTCTTGCTCTGTCGCCAGGCTAGAGTGCAGTGGTGCGATATGGGCTCACTGCAATGTCCGCCTCCTGGGTTCAAGCAATTCTCCTGCCTCAGCCTCCTGAGTAGCTGGGACTACAGGCGTGCGCTACCACACCTGGCTAATTTTTGTATTTTTAGTAGAGATGGGCTTTCACCATGTTGGCCAGGATGGTCTCAATCTCTTAAGCTCCTGATCTGCCTCAGCCTCCAAAAGTTCTGGAATTACAGGCGTGAGCCACCACGCCCAGCCTCCCATTTATCTTCTTTAAAACTCTAGCTTTGGTTCCCATCCCTTGTCCACCATCCCAGAAAACCTGCTTTACCTGCAATCCTTCCCACCCCAGTAAACAGCACCTTCATTCATTAAACTGCCCAGCCCAAAGACTTGACTCTTCTTTCCTTCCCAGCTTACATCCAACCCAACAGCTAACCCTGCATTCATCCTTGAAAGCCTATCCCCAACCTGTTACCTTCCACTGGCTCCGCCATGACTGCTCTACTCTAAGCTGCCATTGTTAGTCTCTTGATAGTTGCAACAGTCTCTTATCCCGACTCCAGCAGTAAAATATCAGCCCTGCCTCTGACGACAGCCTCAGGGTTAGAAAGGACAGAAATGCATTCACTTGGCCAGACACGGTGGCTCACACCTGTAATCCCAGCACTTTGGGAGGCTGAGGCAGGTAAATCACTTGAGGTCAGATCATCAGGACGAGCCTGGACAACATGGTGAAACCCTGTCTCTACTACAAATACAATAATTAGCTGGGTGTGGTGGTGGGCGCCTGTAGTCCTAGCTACTTGGGAGGCTGAGGCAGGAGAATTGCTTGAATGCGGGAGGCGGAGGTTGCAGTGAGCAGAGATCGTGCCAATGCACTTCAGCCTGGGTGACAGAGCAAGACTCCATTTCAAAAAAGGAAAATTAAAAAAAAGGCTGGGCGTGGTGGCTCACGCCTGTAATCCCAGCACTTTCGGAGGCTGAGGTGGGCGGATCACCTGAGGTCAGGGGTTCAAGAACAGCCTGGCTGACATGATGAATCCCCGTTTCTACTAAAAATACAAAAAAGTTAGCCGGGCGTGGTGGCAGGTGCCTGCAGTCCTGGCTACTCGGGAGGCTGAGGCAGGAGAATTGCTTGAACCCAGTAGGTAGAGGTTGCAGTGAGCTAAGATCGCGCCTCTGCATTCCAGCCTGGCGATAGGGAGTCTCCGCTCCCCTCAATCACCCCCAAAGAAACGTATTCACTTGTTAAATCCTTACCACAACCCCATGAGGTAGACCTTAGTGCTACTTTTAAGTAAAAGGTAACTAACTTGCCCAGAGTTACACCACTAATTCCTGGTAGAGGCAGAGTAAAACTCAGGTCTGTCTTGCCAGAGCTAGTGCATCCATGTGTTTTCTGTATGCCTGAATTAGACCTGGGGGTAAGGAGTCAATTTTCCCCAGTGTCACCATACACAATCACCTAGACCAGGGACTTCTCAGCCTCGGTACCACTAGCATTTGGAGTTGGATCATTCTTTTTTTTTTTTTTTTTTTTGAGATGGAGTCTCACTCTGTAGCCCGGGCTGGAGTGCAGTGGCACAATCTCAGCTCACTGCAACCTCTGCCTCCCAGTTCAAGCACTTCTCCTAAACTCAGCCTCCCAAGAATTACAGGCACCAGCCACCATGCCTAGCTAATTTTTGTATTTTTTAGTAGAGAGAGGGGTTCACCATGTTGGCCAGTTTGGTCTTGAACTCCTGACCTCGTGATCCACCCACCTTGGCCTCCTAAAGTGCTAGGATTACAGGCGTGAACCACCGCACCCGGCCTGGAGTCGGATGGTTCTTGGCTGCAGCGGGCTGTCCTGTGTATTGCAGGGCCAGAAGCATCATCCCTGGCCTCTAGCCACTGTTGCCAGTAGTCCCCACCCCAACCCAGCTGAGAACCAAAAATGTCTCCAAACCTTGAGTTTAGGGGAGTGGAGACTGCACCCAGTTGAGAATCACTGACCTTGACTGATTATTCCCTCTTCCCAGCATAATGGACCAAGTTTATTTATCTTACTATGAACTCTTTTGTTCTCCGTTGCATACCACACATTTACTGTGTTTAACATCAAGAAAAAATAATTGATTGGAGCCTTAAAATACAACACAAACAATGTAGTCATGGGCATGGCCATTCACTATCAACAGCTGAGACTGGGAGCAGTGGCTCACACCTAGAATCCCAGCACTTTGGGAGGCTGAGGCAGGAGGATCACTTGAGGTCAGGAGTTCGAGACCAGCCTGGCCAATATGGTGAGACCGCGTCTCTATTAATCCCAGTTACTCAGGAGGCTGAGGCAGGAGAATTGCTTGAACCCGGGAATCGGAGGCTGCAGTGCTCCGACCCACACAAAACAAATAAATTTTA